CGTTCCCCGGACCTCTCGGCCACCCCGGCCCCTTCCTCTCTCCACCGGTGCCCGGGCCGGGGCGCCTGTGCCCTGGCGGCGCGACCACCGCCCCTGGCCGCGCGTCCCCACTCTCGGGGCAGCTCGCCCCGCATCTCCAGCGTTGCCCCCAGCCCGGCTCAGGGTCTCCAAGGCTGGGGTGTGCTGGAGGAGTCTGGGCGGAACTCACTCTTGCCCTCTTCCCCAGGTGGCCCTGGACGCCCCAGGCTGGGGCCGCCTCGGAGCGCCCCGCGGGGGCCATGGATGGCGAGACAGGAGAGGAACAGGGGGGCCCCTTGCCCCCACCAGGTGCACCTTCCGGACCCGGCCCAGCTGGCGCTCTGGCCCTCGCGGGGTGGCGGGAGCCCAAGAAGTACGCCGTGACCGACGACTACCAGTTGTCCAAGCAGGTGCTGGGCCTGGGTGTGAACGGCAAGGTGCTGGAGTGCTTCCACAGGCGCACGGGGCAGAAGTGCGCCCTCAAGGTTAGTGACCCCTCGCTGCCGCCTGGGTGGCCCCCAGGGTCCAGCAGCAGAGGCCTGTGGGTCCTGCTAAGCTCCTTAGGTTCAGCATCACCTTTCATCTTCATACTCCCCTGTAGGGCCAGGCTCCGGGTCCTCCCTGCTTTATAGGTGGGAAACTGAGGCTTAGCCTAGTTTCCAGGGAGCAAAGGGTGGAGTCTGTGTGGGTAGATCCAGCTGTACCCGGAAGTGGGGAAGGAGTGGCTCCTGGCTCCCGGGTTCTGGCTGGGCCTATGTGTTCCCGCCCAAGAGGGGCACTCTTTCCATGAGAAGCTCTTCTGGTGGGAATGGGTCTGAATTTCCCTCTGAGGCCGGGTCACCACCAAAGCTTGGGGTGGAGCTCCTTTCTCCTGTGGCCCCTGCCTGCCTGGGCTGGAGTGATGGGAGCCTTCCAGGCTGACTGGTGGGCAAGGCTGATGCCCATCACACCCGTGGGCAGGAGGCTGTTGATGGGCTCCAGCTGAGTCACAGGGCCCCATGCCTGACCCACCCTGGTTCCTGGGGAGAGGGCTGACCAGCCACCTAGCCACGTCACACCATAGGCTCCCTGGAGGCCTGGCTAAAACCTCACTGATACAGGTGGAGTCAGGGGAGTTCTGGGGGTGGCTGATCTAGTTTGTTTAAGTCACTTAGTTCTAGGCCCACAACTCTGCCCCGTACCCAGAATCCCTTGAATCTGGGAACCTTAGTCAATTGCAGCTTGTGCCAGTGACCACCTGGATGGGTAGAGGATGGTAAGGAAAGTGGCTCCTGGAGGTTAGAACACAGCAAAGGATTTTCCTGTTTTATAGATGTTGCAATTATGAGCCTGAGGTCACAGTCCTGCTCTAATGTCTGGCCTGCATTTGCCAGATTTGTTACCTTGAACTAGGTTCAGGAGTCCTGAAGCCAAGTTTCTGCCTCTGGGAGAGACAGGGATTGTTGTGAGCTTGGATTGAGATGATGTGCGTACAGTAATTGGTGTAGAGCCTGATGGAGGCCTGGAGAGGCTACAGGACTTATTTAGGGCACAGGGTCTGCAAGTGTCTGAGCAGGAACCTGGGCTCAGCTCCCTGTGTCTTTCCCAGGGTCACTAGGGCTGATAGAGGTCGTATCCCTAGGGTGGTCTTCGAGGGGATCAGGAGAATGGGTCCGGAGGAGGCTCAGGGCTGGGCTGCTGAGGCCAGGTCTCAGACACAGCTCCTTTGCCTACTAACCTAGCGTTGGAGTGGGGTTGGGGCCCTTTTGGAGCCCCAGGCAATCCCTTGGAGTCCTTCAGGGAAAAAGACAGCTCTTCTAAGGGGAGATGAGGCTCAGGGGGTGAGAAGTGAGCATTTCTACCCTCTCCCTTGACACCGTCTTAGCCCCTTCACCTGTGTTAGCGTCAGGGTGCAGTCTGTGTGGGGAGGGGCCACCCAAGGCCAGAGAATCTCTTCTTCTTCTTCTTCTTTTTTAATACATCTTTATTGATTTCAGAGAGAGGAAGGGAAAGAGAGAGATAGAAACATCAATGATGAGAGAGAGTCATTGACCGGCTGCCTCCTGCATGCCCCGGACTGGGGATGGAGCTCGCCACCCTGGCATATGCCCTGACCAGGAATCGAACCTTGATCTCCTGGTTCCTAGGTCGATGATCAATCGCTGAGCCAGGCCCAGCCGGGTAAGAACCTCTTCTTAGTACCAAGGCTTTGGCCCTGTGAGCCAGGGCTGAGCTCTGACTGGCCCCTGTGCTGCTGCAGGTGCTGTGAGCGAGGCGGGCGCGGAGCGGGAGGCTGCGGTGTATGGCCCCAGGCAGCACCAGCTTTAAGCAGACTGGCCTACCCTTCCCCATAGGTGCTGCCTGGTAAGTGACTGCAGCAGTTTCTAAAGCACCTCTTCTTGGATGTGGGGCCTCAGTGCTTTCTCTGTTCTGGACAGAGAACTGGGGCCAGCCGAGAACGATTCCCCTGCTGTACCCCTTTCGGCTTTATGGGTGAGCATGGCTAGGGCTACTGGCTTAGGACCTTCAGGCCTGGCCCTAAGTTGGCCCTCAAGGGGAACATGGATTAGATTTGGCCCCCACCTTCCCATTCTTGCCCCCTCACACCAGTGACCGAGCCTTGAAGTCCCTACTCAGCAAGGTAGATTCGTATTCGTTTTACACTTTCCAGATGGGGTTAGCACAGCCTCTGGTGCATCGGACCTGTCCTGTGAGTGGTGGCTCTCGCCTTGAGGCGGGAGGTGGCATTTTCCCACTTACATTTTTTCTCTACCCCCTGCCCAGGAGGGCCAGGGCCTGGGGACCTTAGCACATGGGCAGGCCTGGGCCCAGGGAGCTCATCTGGTCCATGAATGGGTCTCAGCCCTTTTTCTGCCTCTGCCTAGCCCTCTCCCCAGCTGCCCAGGTCAGCCTAGGTTGGGCTCCATATCTTTCTGCCTCCCTAGACCTACACCCCAGTTTCCCAGCTTGCCTGTCTTGTGGCTGGACACGTTCAGGCCCTCTGTGCCCTTCTTGGTGGTCCAGGCCTAGTGCCCTGGCCTCTTTCCATGCCCATCCTCTCAGTCTTGTTGCCCAAGATGGCAGATAGTACTTAGCATGAATTTTGGAAAGCAGCAGGCACTCATAAAACAGGAAGAACTGTGGTCACTGACCCTGTGGCTGTTGCTATTCTATGGGCGCCCTAGAAGAGCAGGCTCCTCCTCCTTGAGCTGGGCCTCTTCCCCTTTCTCTCAGCCCCTGACCTCTGGCTTGGTCCATCTTGGCCTTGTTCACACGCTGAGGCTCCTTCCCAAGGATAGCTTCCGCAGCTGGTGTAGTCATGCCACCCTAGGCACTTGCTGCTGTCCCCTTGGCAGGAGCCGGAGGACTGCCTGCCGTGTATGGGAGCTGGGGACTGCCTCCTACTGACTTCTTGATTGTGCTTCCTTTCAGGCCTAACCACTTAATTGGCACCCCTGAGCTTCATTCCCAACTGGGCACAGCCCTGAAGATCTGTCCCCCATCAGTCACCCCAACACATTTGAGACCCAGCCCCTCAATCCTAATCACATATATGAAAATTGGGACCTGGAGTTAGTAGTCAGAAGTCATGTCACCTGATTGGGATGGGACTGTGGCAGAGGCCAGAATCCCCTCCCCTCCTGACTTCCTGCCCAGTCCACGTGTGGTCCTCAGCCTTCTGGCAGGCAGCGGTAACCAGGGCACTTACTAAGATAAATAAAAACAATAAAAGGCCTTACAGAGACAGAGGGGTTCATCGCGTGGAAGGAGAGGTAGAGCCTTCCTTCTTGCCCTGCTCTCTGGTCTCTGGGGCTGGGGCCCTGTCCTCTGACCATTGGAGCATGTTGGGGCCCCTCAGGGCTCCCAGTGCCCTCCTCTTCTGGTCTTTGTCAGAGAGAGTGGAGTGGTTGGGGACTGGATCCACATGCCCAGGAGATCTCTGCATTGCTTCATGGGCGGGGCTGGCCTGTTGGAGCTGGTGCTGCAGAGTTGGATTTGGGGCTGGGCTTGGTGTGGCTGCCAGACAGGCCAGGTACTTTCTCATTTGGCACCTGCCACCCCCTCACCTACCTCTCCAGACCGGTCAGATCAGCCTCTGCAGAGCTGCTTGTTACTGAGTCAACATATCAGGGAGTGTATGGAGGGGTTGGTGGCCCTGTACACAAGTCCCCAGCAGTGTTTTCACTGCCCTGAGCTTCTCCTAGGGTGCCCTCTCCTGGAAGGAAGTATTTGAGGTACTCAGGTGCTTCCTCCTGCTGAACTGCCTGGGCTGGCAATTTGCTTTTTAAAAGAAGATCCTAGGGAGGGCATCAAACCCTAAGAAATGCAAATAGTGGAACTTTCAGCAGAAGTGGGTTGTTTGGAGATGCTGTACACCCTGCCCAGCTGGCCTTTCCCACAGCTTTAGAAGCTGCTCTCCCACCTCCCACGTCCCGTGGGGGTCCCCTCTGCTGGGACTTCCATCCAGGAGCCAATGCCAGCTCTCAGGCTTTAGGCCTTGATGTTGTGGGTTCTCATCAACAGCTAACAGTTTTTCAGAGCATTCTGTCTGGCAGGCCCTGTTTCCCATGCACGACACGTGTTCTCTTACCTAATCCCTGTCATTCCCAGTTTATGGATGAAGATACTTAAGTTCAGAGAGGTGAGCGACATGCCCAAGGTGTACAGCTGGTGAGTGGCAGGGCTGGGACTTGAGCCTAGGCAGTTTAATGCCAGAGTCTTAGCATCAAAATCACCTTTTCATGCTTCATGCACGTCTATGGGGCTATGGGAGGGTCTCTGAGACTTGGCTCCTGGGAAGATGCGCGCATCCTCCTCCATGGCTCCCGGGCAGCCCAGGCTGGGCCCCAAGTGCTGCTCTGGTGTTTGCCACATCTCCTCCCTATGCCGGACTCCATGCCTGTGAATGGACAGGTGGTGATCCCGTAAGGCCAGTGCACAAGGACCATGATGGCTGCTGGGCCACCTCAGGAAGATTGTGTGGTTCATGCCAAGCCTTGTGGGTGCAGAGGGCTGGGCCAGGCTGGGGCTCCAGGAGGAGGCTGCCTGCTCTGGTCCCGGTCTGCGGCCTGAGAAGGATGTGATGAGATGAGGGCACAGGGTGTGTGTGACAACCTGCCTGGTGTGGACAGCTCAGTGCCTGCCGAGGAGCACCACTTCCCCACTCACTGTCCTGCGTCCAGGCAGGATGTGGCTGTTCTCAGCAAGGCTGACCTCTCGGCCCTGATAACCCCGGGGGGCCGTGGAGGACAGAAGGGCTGCATGGAGGAAGAGGCCTTTGTGCAGAGCCTTGAAGGATGAGGACAGAAGGCCGGCGGGGACTCTCCCTCTCCCTCTCCATCTGCCCACACCTCAGGTTCATCCCTCACCCCACCGGAGGCCTCTGTCTGCGGTGCCCTCCCTCCTGCCCGCAGAGCTTGCAGTCAGCATCACCAGGACTTCTGCGGAGTGCTGCTGCGGGCGCTCGGGGGCTTCTGGGGCTGCTGGGCTGCCCTTTAGCTGAGGC